AGATCAAAGCCTCCCCCTAAAGTCCCCCCAACCCCCCCACACACACATACACACTAGTTTGCTGCACCTAAGCAGGTGAACATAATAACAAGACTTCTCCTATCTATCATTCTCCCATACCTACATCCCAGGGCAAGCCTGTCCAATAGAAACTTCAATAATTATAACATATATCCAGCCTGGCAGGAGTCTGTCCTGGAAGAAGAGACCTGGAAATGTTAGACCTGGTGTCCCACCATTCTAAATCACTATGGGAGAGAAATACATAGACAAGCATCGTGCTTGAGTTTTCTAAACCCACCAGAAGTCAGAGGTTTTTATATCACAAAAGACACACACATTTCCAGTCTATTTCTGTTGGCTGTACTAACAGGAGGGCAAAGATAGTAGACACCTTGGATAACGATTCAGCCCCGGCCCAAGTCAAGCCTGCACTGATCTCCAGGGTCCCAAAATAACTCCTGCTGACCAGAAGGATGGGCCTCCAAACCACAGTCTGGGCTATCTGAGGACAGTGCTCCCAGGAATTATCCTTAACCATCTTACAACACGCATGGAGTCAACAAAATGAGGATAGATTCCAAGGATCCACAGTGGTTTGGCTCCTGATACTGTAGATCACACTCAGCAAGAATTAGCGAGGGTAGCAGGGCATACTGGCGCATGACTGGAATCTCAGCCACTCAGGAGGAGGGCGGGAGGCAGAAGATGATGAGTTTGAGGCCAGCCCGGGCAAAGGTCGTGGCTGGACTCTGTCTTAAAAACAAAATAAAAACCAAAAGATCTGGAAAGGGTAGTTCAAATAGTCTGGGACTTGCCTAACACGTACAAAGCTCTAAGTTCAATCCCAGCACTGCAACTATTTATGCACAGAAGGAAGGAGAAAGAAGGGCAAGGGAAAGGAGGTGAGGGGAAAGGCAGAAGAGAGGGGACAGGCAAGGGACAACAGAGAATTAACGAGGGTGCTGATTCATACATAGCTAGAGCTTGCAGACATCTCCGAGAGAGAAATCAAAGTCTTAGTGCTTCATCTTTCCACAGACATTGCCTTTCTTACCACTTCAACATCTACTTTGTTCAAGACCAGAACACACAACTATTGAGAATGCCACAGCCATGACCCAGACCGGGTGATTATAACCTCAGCAAGAGATTGAACCCAGAAAGAACACAGAGAAAGATGAGGCATTTCTACAATCTTAGAAAGACATATAGCCACAGATAAAGATGGTGATCTGCAACCACTGAGACAACAGAAGCCAGAAATAGTGCAAATGCCCATCACCAGGCAGATGTGAGATGCCCCATCACAATTCCTCTCAGCAATGAAGGGGATCAAAAGATTGATATGTGCTTCAAACAAGATAATCTCAAAGTAAGTTAAAGAAACTAGACAAAGAACATTAATTTCCTTTACACAACAGTCTAGAAAACTCAGAATAATCAACAGAAGGAAACAGGTCTGTGAGAAGGTAGCAGGGAAGAAAGGACAGGAGACAATGTGGTGGAGGAGCAGGAGTGAATGACAACATGTCATCACCTTGATTGACGTCTGATAGATCAACAGACATCAGATGACAGTTTCAAATACGTACAGTTTATTGTATTCAGTGTTTGACACCTCAGTAACTATTAAAATGAGAAAGCAATTTGGGAGAAGGAAATCAAAAGGTTTGGTGTGACCAAGAACAAGTAGAGTGAATTCTCATCCTTGGTGGCACTTACGCTCTGAGAGTTACTACAAACACTGAACTAAGCCATGGTTCCTGGGTCACATATAGGTTTTAAGATCTTGTGAGCCTTGGGCCCCATTCTGACAACAAACTGATATATAACCATGGCTTATGCATGTTACTGTTTAAAAGCCCTTTACAACAAACAAATTACTGATGAATTAACATTGAACTTACCACTATCCAGCAATACTCACTCATACCTGAGAAAGCCCATTCTCAGCCCTGCTTGTTCTGTGAGGCATCAGCAGCTTTCTTGAGCTTAGGAATACAGTGAACACCCTAGCACTACAGACTTTGGAGCTATTTTCACACCAAACAGGACACCAAACACACCACAAAGAGGACACCAGTCCCCAGCATAAGGGCGGTTCCTCTGCTGGATTATGGGCTAGTTCTCACTACCCTAGGGATCACAGGTAAGTTTCAACAAGCAGGAAAACTCACAAATAATGAGTATCACGTCCCAACTGGGGAGGGGGCATTCCTTTACTTCACTGGACTCTTGTCCAGGTCAAGGGTGTTAATCCACGAGGATCACACAGAACCATACCCAGCACATAGAAGCACAGTATGTTTTAGCTGGTGTTCTTGTTACCATTTGGATTATCCTTATCTGGTCTCTGTACCCATAACAACCTGTGCATCCACTCCATGTAGCACGTACTCTTTGTGTTATCTACTTCTCTACACACCACTCCCTATATCTGTGAACATTCCAAGGACCAGACTATACTAGGGTATCAGACGCTTCGCAGAGCCTCAGCTGAGAATCCTGGGGTTTGATCTCCATAACTTAAGTACTAGACCATCTTCTTGACTTGTAGTAATGTAATTTTGGTATAACCACTTAAACGCAGTGATCCTGCTGCCTTATCCTAAAATGATCCAATACCCTAAATTTCCAGAAATTCATCAAGACTTACTAATATTTCAGTATGATTTTAGTTCTCAAGAAACCCTGATCTTGCTGATAAAGATTGGAAGTCACCAAAATGAGTGAGATATGGTTTTCCTTGGTAGCAAATCACATCTTTTCCCAGTTCTAATGGGAAGAAAGGACAGTAAGAATTTTTGAACTGCAGAATGATAGCAAGAAGACAAGTTAGGATGGTGAAGATAGGGCTCAAGTGGTAGAAAGCACCAGCCTTGAGCAGAAAAGACAAATAAGAGTGAAGGCCCTGAGTTCAAACCCCAACAGAAAAGATCAACTAGAAAAGAAACAGGAGAGATTAACCATCTACTGGACATTAAAAGATTATTGAGTTGTAATCTCTCCAATCAAGGGAAACTCCAGTGGAGTTTTTAAAAATGTTCACTTCACAATGGATTCTAATATGCAAACAGGTATGCTAGAATTCCAACAATTATTTGTTTGTCTCAATCTCAAAAAGGGCCAAATGACTAATGTTTATCTATCCTTGTAAAACTCAGTGGCCACTTGGAAATAGAAGCTTTCTATCAGAAAACTTCTAGGGTCAATGTAGAACCTTCCTGTTCAGCCAAGCTAGAGTAAGATCAGACCTCCCTCCTACTACTAGATACTCCAGACATACCAACAAGAAAAAAAAAGAAGAGCGCCAGGCATGGTGGGTCTTGCCTGTAATTCCAGATATTCAGGAGGAGACAAGGAGGATCAAAGTCTAAGGCAGCCCATATAGGCTGTAATAAAAGTCATGTGAATATGGTATGTCTCTCTCCTTCTTAAAATATCTTATTGTACTGCACTATATTTGGCCAGTGCATGAAATCAGAAAAACTGAAAGCCAGATAAAAGGGGTAACTATACTGTTTCCTCTCTCTCTACTAGGACCCTAAAAAATAACAGTGCTGGCTCTTGAGTTTCAGTGAACAATAAAGGAAAAAACAGTAGGGATTACCCTGATATTCAACTACCCAAGTCCCATCTCACAGGATTTTTGAGTCCTACTGATAGATTTTTCACTGCTTGTTGTGACAAATACCTGTGAGAAACAGTTTAAAGGAAGATAGGTTTGTTGGGTGGAGTTTTCAGACCACAGATGACTGGTTCTACTGTCTTGGGAAGGAGGTAAGGCAAAACATGGTGACAATAAGAACACATATCAGGGAAGGCTGCCTTCATAGTAGCTGGGAAACAGAAAAAGGAAGGGGCTGGGAACAAGGCATTTAAAGTTTACTTCTCCAGTATATACCCCCCCATTCACCCACTTCCTCCATCTAAACCTCTCTCCTTCATTTCGAATTTTCAATTATACCACCATTATGAATCCACAAAGGGATTAATCCCCTGACTGTGTGTGTCACCACCCTCAGGCAACTGGAATGCACAGTCCCCAGTCTAGTGTCTGCCCCATGGGCTAGTATGCCCTCTGTGAGGGAATATGTTGTATTCTTAGTACGTTCATGTCAAAGTTTTAACCTCCAATTCCTTACAGCTGTATTTGTAGACAAGAATCTTTAAAGAAGTAGTTAAAATAAAATGAGATTGTGAAGGTAGAACCTAGTCTCCTATGACTAAAAAGAAAAGGTTAGGACACAGACACACACACAGGAGACTCACATGAAAACAGAGGGAAGATGCTATTTGAAAGCCAAATGGAGGAGAAGCCAACCCTACAGACATCTTGACCATGAACTTCAGTTCCATTATCTTGCTTAGCCTCCAGTCTGTGGCCTCTAGTAGGTCAGCCAAACCTGATTATGACTCTCTTTGTTGCTGTTTTCTTTTTCAGTACTGGGATTTGAACTCAGGGATTTGTGCAAAAACTCGGTCGTTGTCATCTTCAACTTTTCCTTTGCTGGTTATTTTTGAGATAGAATCTCAACGCCTGCCCAGGCTTGTGCTTGGACCACAATCCACCTATTTTAGGCTTTCATTTCTAAAACTGGGATGACAGTTGCTACTACCACACCCAACTTTTTCCACTGAGATGCAGACTTTTCAAGGGCTGACCTGGAAGCATAATCCTCCATATCTCAGCCTCCCACATAGCTAGAATGCCAAATATGAACACTGGCATCAGCTGCCCTCTGATAGCTGTTTTCCTCCTGGTCAGAGGCTCCAGTGGGCCCTTCTTCAGGAAGTCCAGTCAGTTCTTTTGTTGGCACCTTATAGCTCAGTGTTCCTAAAGAGAGCAGAACTAAACCCTCTGAGACTCTGGAATAAAGGGTTTCCAAACTCTATAGTGGCACACATCTACTCACCTTGCATTAATCAATATTTAACAAAAAGACTCTTCACAAAGAAAGGTTCTATATACAGATGGAAACGCAAGGAGATCTTACCTGTTATGAAGTGCTCAGGGGATCCGTCTGCCAAGACGGCCACCAAGCGTCACCAAAAAGAGAAGAAGATCCCACCGACCACTAGGCCGACACTCTCCAAGACTGTCTTCTCCCACTCCCCAAAGGAGTCAGCTCCAAAGCTGAAAAAGGAAAAGAGGCCATTAGTGGCCTAGTTAAAACAAAAAACACACAAAAACATATATACAACTGAACACACACTCGCATGCACCCAGGACCAAAAAAATGTTTAAAGATACAAAAGAATTTTTTTTAAGATCATTGAAAGGACTCCTTTCTCAAAACAGATCAAGAAAATGAATTACCAAGAACTTGATTTCTAATTCCTACATCTACCAACTGTAAGGGAAAAAAATAAAAGCTCTAAAGAGTACCAGAGCTCAAAAGAAAGGCATCTCAGCCTCCCAGTTCACTGCCCGCATGTCTCCCTGGTTCAAAAAGCAAGCGACCTTCAGTGTAGGTGGGGTTGTGAAGCAAAGTTTACCTAGAAGTCAAATTTTGAGCACAGATCAAAGCCCACATGCTTCTCCCATGGAAGAATTTCTGTCGTGTCCAAATTACTGGACACTCTTAAGTTTCAGTATCCCTAATTACAAAATAGACATGAAAAATAGCTTTTCCTTTACAGGGCTTTTATTAAAAGGATCAAATGAGTAAATGCACATACAGAATTAGGGTCCGACCCGACATAGGAGAAACACCAAACCAATAGTGGTTATCATTAACAACACACCAAATATTCCTCTATTTCCAGAAGCAAAATCAGCCACACTGGTCTTTTTAGAACCAAATAGGAGATGTGTGAAACAAGATTAGTTCAAAACTCAAAACTCAACATCATAGGTATGCACAAAAGCTCTTAACTTAAAAGAGTGCCTACTTTAACCCTCTCAAAGAATTAAAAACTTGAAAAAGTATCATGATATTATGTTTAACTGGACTGTTTCTTTTAAATTCTAATAGCTAAGTTGAACACAGGTTGTTTTGCTTTGTTTTTTAAGGTGGACGGTCAAGCAAGTATGATGGTTTCTGAGATGGCAGTGGGCCAAAATGCTGGACAAGAGCCTTGGGTTCACCATAACAACGGTAAGTGTATCACTTCAAATCCACACATCCTGAGGGGTTTCCATCTGCAGAGAATTTAATCTTTTCCTAGATTCTTATCCAAGTGCCTCAGGACCACTTCCCAGAGCCTCTGCCAGACGTGTGCCTGTAGATTTAGAACATATGCCTGGGAGATTTTCTTTTCAAAGTGTGCTTTGAATTGATCTATAATTAAGGTAAACTGAATTTGTGTGTGTGTGTGTGTGTGTGTGTGTGTGTGTGTGTGTCCTAGCCAGCTGGTCCCCACTCAAACCCATGTTGCATCTATTCAAGAAGGTTGAATTAAACAATCCAGTCAACCAAGCAAGTGAGTTGTGAAGTCGACAAACTGAACAGGATGACTATGAACCTGCCCTCCACCATAACCTCAGGGCCGTTCAATAGACATCGGGAAGTCTGTTACAAACCACCACCTCTGGACCCTGTTTACGACTGCCCCATGCAGAACCTACAGCACCTACGTGCAGAAGCACATGTCATGTTCTGACCTTGACCACTAACAGCACCTACAGAGTCCACATGGAACTCACTGGTCTCTTTTCCTTATCAGTCAAGAGAGCTCTTCTCACGTGGCTTTATAGTCAACGTGGCAAAAACCTGAGGTCTTACTAAAGTATATACTAACCTTGGCAAAAATGAATGTCTCAACTTTCTTCCAAATGTTTCAGAAACAAAGTGCCTCTTGACTCCTGTTTAGTATCTTTAACATCTCCCTGAAATTCCTCAGCTAATGTAAAGTTTTCCTTCTGTCTAGCTTTCACACACTAAATATTTAGAGTAATAACAGCGACTATTTAAACACTCAACAAATCCCAACTTTCACAACAGTGGGTTCAGCCAGACAGAGTGAAATATAGCCCTTCTCAAAAGAGGGCATTTTTAAAATTAAATGCTTCTAATTTCAAAAAGTTAAATTCCATGTCAGAGAGTACTGTGTGTTTTTTTTAATTGCAGGAAGAAGGCACTTACGAAGATACATTAAGAAATATGTGAACAAAGTGAGATTGAAAAAAAAAGGCGAATTTCTAAAAATGCAGTTATAAGATTTTAGAAGGTTAGAAGCTGTGGACAAGTTAAAAGTGAGTCAACCATTAAGTGGAAGAACTGCAGGGCAGCCCTGAGGGGTACTCATCCAGCATGTTGCATGCCCTAGGTTAGATCCTTAGTATCACCCAAATGCTTTTATCAAAACAGGGTGTGCAAAACCACAGGCTACAGCTCCTTTTCCAGGGAAAGTAACAGACTTGAGGCCATACAAGGCACAGTAGAGGAAGTCAACCAAACACAGGAACCTTTCTCACCTAGCTGCCAACACACTCGAATCAACAGGTACACAGCAACCTTCCATAATTCAGCCACTATGGCCCAGATCTTCTGGACCATGTCCTACAGAGTCCCTTTCTCAGTGGCCCCCCCAGTGAAAAGAGGTTTGCAGGGACCATGTGCAGAAGTGTTAGACAAGTGTGCCAACGCCACAGAAAGAACAAGACGCCATTGCTGAAAGCAAACAAAAATTAACCTGAATGTGTAAGGGGTCCAGATCCCCATGATTTGGGTCTCAATTCCCAAGTCAAAAAAAATGAAATACAACAGGGTGAAGAAAAGAAAGCCTACTTGAAAGAAGCCAAATGCTTTTCTCTAAAACTAGTCAAAGCAGAGAGGGACAAGATAATTGCACGTGTTCACACACACATTTGCAAACACCAACACAGAAACTGACCCGAAAACATTCCACTCACCATTGCTTCCACACACATACACACACACACACACACACACACACACACACGTGTGCATTTTAGTTCAGTCCTAAGAATAGCCCTTGTACAACCATGGAATATCACCGCACTTGAGAGATACACTCTGAAGTGAAAGCAGTTAAAAATAGTGTGGCGCTGGCACAAAAATATGTGCTACTGTTCGTCGGCAAGGGCTGCATTTACAAATATGAATGTGTTTTCCTCGTAGCTCCATGTGTTACGTGAGCGACACTGGAACAAGAGTGTATGTGTCTCCCTCCTCCCCGGCCTCGCACAGGACTGGAGGTACTGCAATCCCAGGGCTTCCAGCCTTCCCTGACTCTCAGGTGAGGCCACCCACCATCATGCCACTGTGGTAACTGTGACAAGGGCAAGGACAGCCCCACCCTTTGCTCACATCCTACAAAATGCTTGGAAGGCTTTTATGGAAGGGCTTTTTGAAGATTAAAAGGAATAAAGATGTGACACATGATAAAATATCCAACTGGATTAGTACTTCTTAATTAAGGATAACTAAACATCAATCTTTTGAAGCTGAATTGTTAGCCCCATTTTACAGATGAATAAACCATGGCTGAAAGATAGTAAGCCTGTGCCAGGGTCACATAAAAGCCAAGATTTGAGTCAACAGGTCTAAATTGAACTCAAGTCAATACAAATATCTATGTTTGGACTACCAACTGGCTTTCAACTTTGACAAAATATGACTGTGTTATAGGAAAAAGGATAGAAGGCTTTTAGAGTTGCCTTAAGGACTCTTTCAATTTATTCTTTCCATCACATCCTTCAAAGCATATGTTATATTGTACCTTTTTTTAAAAAAAGAGCAACATGGCCAAAAGGTAAAACCTAAAACCCAAAGCACTAGGATAACAGAAAAAAATTAATATCCTACTTTCTAGTAATTAAAGATTTTGGTTAATCAGCTCAAAATAAAGAATTCCCTTATCCTGACACATGGCATGAACAAGAAACTTCCAGCTGTACAAGAAAAAAAACCCAACAACAGAACTGACATCATGTCATTAAACCCACATGACATTATGAGTTATTACATTCCTTCCAAGGGTCCTAGATAATGTGGAAATACAGAACAGAAAAGGCTAGGAACATGTTGAATAGAAAAAATATTTTTGTTTAACTACTGTTACTTACAGCTGAAATGCACAATGACCAACTGTAAAGAATTTGGAAGAACTATGAACATTCTTGAGGTTGAGACTCCAACATGGTCTCACACCACCTCCTCAACACACTAGTACCATGCCTCAGGAAGAATGTCACCATGAACTGGTTTTCTTCACAGAAACAATAAGTAATACCAAAATAATCAGTAATACCCAGGCAATAAACACAAGATACTCTGAAGAGAGGGAAAGACTTTCAGAGAGGAACCAAAAAGTCCAGAATGTAGAAGCATATCCCCTTTGTGGAAGGGATTGCCACACCTCTCCCTGTCCAGGGATTTGTTAGTATAACCCAGTCTCAACGAACACCCAGGCTCCCAGGAATTCGATTGCTGAGCTAAACATACAGTTAGAGACACAGTCTACATAACACGGTAAGAGAATGTAGACGTGGAATGTGAATGACGACAGTATTTAAAAATAAGACCAAGGATTAATAACTGGCAATGGCTGCTCCATAAGATTCAGTCAGATCTCCACCTCCTGTGTGGATTGAAGATTTACAAGTTCCAAACAAAAATACTATGAGGAAATGTAGACAAATAATGTTATCAAATCTGTGTGAGAAAGATACTTCCAAGCAAGACTCTTAACCTAGAAGCCATGAAGGATAAACAGAACAAAAGTCTCTATAAGCAGTATCAAAAAGAAGCAAAATGACTCACACTTATAATGCTAGCCACTAAGGAGGATAACAGTTCGAGGTCAGCCTGTGCAAAATGTTAAGTAAGACCCCAGCTTAAAAATAAAACGGAACATGGTAGCAGATGCCCATTACCCCAGCTACATGGGAAGTATAAATGGGAGGACTTCAAAACAGGTTGGCCTAGGCAAAAAGATCCTAGCTCAAAAATAAACAGCAAAAAGGGCTGAGGGCATTGGCTCAACTGGCAGAGTACTTGCCAGCAAGAACAAGATCCCAAGTTCAAATCCCAATACTGCCAAAAGAATAAAAGATAAGCAAAAGCCATTGATCAAAATATCTGTAGTCAAAAGCACAAAAAAAAAAGCTAAGTTTCCATAATGGAAAAAGGGGTGATATGAATCAAGATGCATTGTACACATAAA